TATTTATTGATTATTAATTTAGACCTCAGTTTGAATCACAAGGATTTTACATAAAATCTCATGTTGAAACGTTCAATATGGATTATCTTAAAACTAAAAACACTAATACTATAATTTTTTTACTTATAATATTTAATATCGAATCAATTTTTTCAATTTAACAAATTTAAATCGAACAATAAAAATGGGTTATACTATACCACCAAAATTCGTTTTGGATGATAACGTACATCCAATATTTGAAGAAGTCTTGGATGTGGTTGTAGATGTTCAGGAACATTTTGATGAGCAGAACATGGCAGAAATTCCATTAATTCCTGACGTTGAGGTTCCTGAAAGTCAACCAAAAAAATCATATAAATGCGTATGGTTAGCGATCATAATATCAATTGTTGTTAAGTAAGAAAAAACGAACAAGGGACTTATGTAGCAATTGGAATTTACCTAAAACATAGCATCTGTTGCTATGATGCTTGGTTACTGCATTTATGGAATAGTACGATTTATATTTTATAATCCAATACGTAACTCTTTCCAGGGCTATGATTTTGTATACCAATATCTTTGATTGAATCAATGAATAAAATAAATGTCAAAATCTAAAAAAATTGTCTATTTTTTATTGTTGTTCATTTTTTCCCATGTGATTATTGCGATTATTCTTTGTATTTATAATTGCTATAAAAAGTTGTTAAATTAACCAACAATTTAAAATAAAATTTACAGTTTTTATTACTCTAAATTGATGTAATTTTTGATTGTTTTTGAAATTTTAAAATCATATTACATTAATTCAGTTATCGATTAATTTAATTGAAAATTTTTTAGTTTGAATTACAATTATTTCATATAAAAATCCATGTTGAAACATTAAATTTAGACCGTTTTACTTTACTCTCTCTTTAATATTACAAGTTTATCACAACTAATATTATCGAATCTTTCTTATTTTCTATATCAAATACAAAAAACTTCATTAAAAATGGTTGAAACAACTTATCAACCTGCAAAAATTGTCGAATTCGATGATGATGCCGAATCCGAACAAGAATCCGAATTGGAACCATTCTATGGTTCCGAATTTAACGAAGAAACGTATGATGATGATGGCTCTGAACTGGGCGAAGTATCATCATGCGAAGATTGGCAACCAGATTTCGATCTGGACGAAGAAGAAAAGCAAGATGATGATGGATCTGAACTTGGTGAGGTATCATCTTGTGAAGATTGGCAACCAGACTTTGAACTGGTTGAAAAAATGCCAACTGATGATCAATTTGCAGAAATTCAAAAATATCAAAGCCTTTTCAATTCAATTTTTCTTGAAAAATTCAATAAATAAAATTTTCGTTTTTCAAATTCTTTTTCTGAATTTTATCCAATTACTCTTAAAATGTTTAATTTATGACAACAATTTGACATTCAAATTTGATTGATTAACATGTTTGTTTTAATTATGATTTCTCTAATTTGAAGTAATTTTCGATTGTTTTTAAAAATTTTTAATCATGTTACACTAATTCAGTTATCGATTAATTTAATCAAAAGAACCTTTGAATTACAATTATTCCATATAAAAATTAATGCTGAAACGTTTAATGAGGATAATCTTAAAACGCTAAGTACGATATTACAGTATTATCACTAATAATATTATCGAATCTTTTTCTTTTTTTATATAATTGAAAAACACTACAAAAAAATGGTTGAAACAACATATCAACCCGCAAAAACTGTGGAATTTGTTGATTTTGAAGAATCCGAAGAGGAATTGGATTTGGAACCATTTGATGATTTCGACTTGGATGAAGATGAAACATTATATAATGTTTCTGAACTTGGCGAAGTATCGTCAAATGAAGATTGGGAACCAGATTTTGAACTGGTCGAAGAAATGCCACGTGATGATGAATCTGAATTGAGCGAAGTATCATCATACGAAGATTGGCAAGCCCAATATGTTGATTCCGAATCAGGCGAAGAAACGCCATTCATCGATATTTCCGAATTTGAAATCGTCGATGTGGAAAATCAATCGATTCCAATATATCGAATCGATAAACAAAGACATGCATTCATTTTGGCTTGTCTAATAATTATGTTTATTATTTATGGTATTCTGATTTTCTGGTTCCCAGAATACGTTCCCATAATGAAATGGACTTTATTAGCAATCTTTATTGCAGTCATCATTCATTATGTTATTATTTTTCTGGATTTCGTCCAATTCTTTTTACAATGTTTAATCAATCAGCAAAATTTTGCATTCAAATTTGATTGATTGAAACAAATAAAATTTTGTATAAATATCATTATCAATATCATTTATTATTCATCATTCTGTTTGTGAGTGTACAGTGTGAGTATAATCCTATAGAGACCACGTGTAGGAAATGGAATGGATATCTTGCTGTGTGAGCAAGTGCAAAGCTACACTAAAAACATTTCTTCAAACTGTTTTAAATCAATGAATTCTTTACATATCTGAATATTGAATGACTGAATGTGTTTAAGTTGAAAATGGACACAGGTTGATATTTAAAAAAACTCTCTATCTACTCTTTCTACAAATCTTTTCTATTGAATCTTTTTTCAATCTAAAAAACAACTGAAAAATGTGTCACAAAATTATTTTTTTTTTTAATTTAGTTGTTGAATGATTAAATTAGATTCTGGTTTGAAACACAATGATTTTATATAAATACAGATACAGAAACGTTCAATTTGGTTTATTAAAAACGCTAATGCTTGAAAAAGCTCCTTTGTATCGAATCTTTTTTTTGTTTATTACACTCACAATCAAAAAAAAAAAACAACAAAAATGTGCAAAAAAATCGAAAAAATTCTTGAAACAGTTGATCAATTTCAACAAATTGATCAAGAAATAGAAGAAGAAATGGCGATGCCTCAAGATGATTTTGTCATCGTAAATGCCCGTGTCGAAGATTTTTATGAGCCTCCATTTGGAGTATTGCGATCATTGGGATCTACTCTCTTGAAGGCATTTGTCATTGTGTTCGGCATCATTATCTGCTTGTTCCCGGAACAAATTTACACCATGATAATGGCAACAATAACCTTACTTGTAATTGTGTTTCGTGGACATATTATCGGAAAATTCTATGCTCTGCTACGATATTTTTCACGTATTTAAACAATATCAATCGGATTTCATTAATTAAAATCAATATATTTTCAATAAAAATAATATTCTATCCTACTTACCACCAAAGGATTCACATATAAATAATGCATCTAAATTTTCATCCAAATTGATGACTGGTGAATATTGTGTACGTTGTTGTTGTTGTTGTTGATATGATGATGTTTGTTGATGTTGGGCACTTGAATCAATCATAACATTGATTGTTTTAATTTCATTTAATTTCAATGGAAATAATGATGATGATAATGGTGATGATGACCACCAATTCTGATGAGAATAATGATGATAATGATTCGATAAACTTTGATTGGATGATTGTTGTTGTTGATTAAGAATTTGTTGTAATTCCAATTTAAATTGTTCAAATAAATTTGAATCTGTATTGTTTTTATTGTTACGAAATGTTGAAAAAATCATTGATGATTGATAGATTGTCAACGTTTTTGGAGGAACTAATGAAAAATGAAAATGAAAATNTGTTGTTGTTGTTGATTAAGAATTTGTTGTAATTCCAATTTAAATTGTTCAAATAAATTAAAATCTGTATTGTTGTTATTGTTACGAAATGTTGAAAAAATCATTGATGATTGATAGATTGTCAACGTTTTTGGAGGAACTAATGAAAAATGAAAATGAAAATTAATTAACCACTACCATCATCATCATTAATTTATTTGTGGACAGGATTCCAAAAAACAGATAGAATATATTCATTTCAACAGTGCAATGCTGTCAATTCCATTGAAACAACAACAACAAAAATATCAGCAAGAAATAATGTTCATTCCGAAGAGAAACCAAACAAAAAAACACATCATTGGTTTATGGTTTTGGTTTATTATCATAGAAAAAATATGTATACATACAATATATTAATTATGGGTTTATCATCATCATTTACTATTGTTTTTTCATTTCCAAAATTTTTTTTATTATCTAAGCTAAATTCTAATTATTATGAACCAAACAAACAAACATCAAACAGAATAACAGAAAAATAGGAAGGAAAAACCAACCACAGAATAATAATAATACACTATACACTGTAATGTCATATATGGTGAATGATGATTTGAAATCTAAATACAATAATAAATAATGATAATGAACTGAATGCAAAATAAAAAAAGATTTTCAATGATTATTCTGTAAATGATTATTATTATGGTGGTGGTGGTGGTTATATGAATGATGATGTTTAGTATTGTTTAGTTTAGGGGACAAAAAATTCATCAAATGAATGAACTGATAAGCTGAACTGACTTTACAATTTTTTTTGAAAAATAAAACAGAATAAGAATATTATTAACATACCATATACATTGAGCATTACTTTTGATATTGTTGTACGTGTCCAACGATAATCAACACGACACCAATAAAGTCCTTGATCTTGTTCTTTAACTGGATCAATAATCAACATAAATGGATTGATTAGAATATTTCCTGATGATGATTGTTCAAACATTGATTTTGTTAATGATTGTTGTTGATTATTATTATAAATAGTATGTTGATTAACAACAAATTTGGCACGTTCATTATATGGATCCATAAGAAAATGTTTCCATTGATTTGTAATTGGATTCTGTTGTTGTTGTTGATGTTGATTAGAATTGTTGAATAAATCATTTTGATTTATCGATGATGATGATGATGATGATAATGATGATTGTTGTTGTTGTAAACGTGCATCAACACTATAAAATGGTGAACCAGATATATCATCACCATGATACCAAAGTATTAATTGTATCATATCTAATGGTTGTGATGATTGTATATTTGTTGTTGTCATTGATGATTGTTGTTGTTGTTTTTTGGATTGTACTGATAATTCAGGCAGTTGTAATAATGATGGTAGTGGTGGTGGATCATCTTCTGATTCTTGTACAGGTTCTTTATCATCATTAAAAAATGGATGTCCAGCTAAATGACAAGGTAAATGTGCAATACGACCGACAAGTACATTCTGATCAGGATATGCTATGTGAAAAAAAATGATAATGTGTGAAAAATAAATTAAGAATTTAAGAAAAAAATTCAATCAGTTTTTCATTCAAATCGATAATGATTATTCAAATTAAAATAAACGATGAAAAAATTAACTAAATTGAAAAGTTTAGAAGAAAACTTTAACAATATCAAACTTGAAACGTTGAAAAAAAACGACAAAACCAAATGATGTGGAATAGAATTTGATGGCAAGAAAAAGAAAACAAAAATCCGGAAGAAAACGAAACGAAAACATCCAGAAGCAAAAAACAAAACAAAAAAAAAGAAGAAAAGAACAAACAAAAATGTGCGAAAAATAGAATAATAAATTAGATTTTGCTTTAACCACAAAAATAAATTCATTTTCAATTTTGATTTGTGTTTTTGTTGTTTTTTTTCGATTCAAAATCTCTCATTGTGTGCGAATGCAATGATGATTTTGATGATTATATAATTATCATCATCATTTTTTATCCAATTTTGTTTGATGCTATTTGATGGGAGTGAGGGGGTTAATTTTTATGGAATGGAATTTTCATTTTTTTTCACTCGGCTACCATGATAATTCTACTGAATTCGGTATTGTGTTTGTATATCGTTATTATCATTTTGCATCATTCATAAATCTATTATGAGAAAATTGAAAAAAGGGTAAACAAAATTTTTTGTTCATTTTTTTTGGTTGGAATTCATTGTTTATTATGCCAATCAACTTAACCGCAAATAAATAAATTTTGTAAATGAAAATTTTTACATTGAAAATATTGAATAATTTTGAAACGAGAATAGAAACATCAAAATCACATCATCGGACATTTTCCGATGTGATCAATATGATGATGATGATGATGACAATCAATGTAACAGAAATAAACAAACATTGTTTGTTATCATCATATTTTGGATCAGTGTTGTGCAAAATGAATGTCTTTTCTATTTTTGGTTTGTCAGAATTCTATTGTTATATTTTTTTCAACAGAGAATTCTCTGTTTTAAGAAAATTCTGTTTTTGCATAGAAAACAAAAACGTTGTGGAAATCAGATTTATCTTCATCAACATTCACCGAATTTGGTGACACTTATCGAGAGAGATCTAAACAATAATTAACAAATGAAGAAAAAAAAATCAAAATTAATGAGGAATTTTGGTGAAAAATACAGAAAAAAAAATTTGACAAGCGCATGTGCCAGAATATTGATGAAATCATTTTGTCTGTGTGAAGAATATTCCAGGAAACAATTTGTGCTTATTAAAAAGTTTTTTTATTTCGTTGAAATTCCGGCTATTCAGAAACGAATTTGAAAACACAACTGACAGAAGTAAAAGAAAAAAAAATTCAATAGCGTTTTATTTTTCCTTATTGGTATTTTGCTTATTTGAATAATGTTGCATTTTCACATTTGGACATTCAAAAAGTTTTTTTTCCTCACTTGTTTCTGTTTTCAATTCCGAAAACAAAATGTCATTTATCAATTGTCAAATTTACCAAAAAATATTTCATTTGACAAAAATTCTTTTCTATTTGTTTCATATTTTCTGTGTTTCTTCTGTTGAAATATTTTCAATTTACTTTTTTTTTTTTGGTATGAAATAAAACAGACCTCAGACAGAATGCATAACTTACTTTTATGTTCAGGTTTTGGTGACAATGTTGTTGTTGTCGTCTTCGTAGTCGTTGTCTTTGTTGACGTTGACGCTGGAGTCGTTGATGAAATCAATTGTTTTGCATCACAGTATCCTACAGTTTTTTTTTGATATTGAATTTGAGGGAAAAAGAATTATTTTTTTAAAAGGAAAAAAATCATATTTATTTTATGAATTCCAGAATAATCAGAAAAAAAATTTACCAAAATGAAATGAATGATCAATAATCACAATCGTTGTAAATGATAAAAATATAAATAAATTTTTCATTTGTAATTGGAATTTTAAGGCCACATTTTTATCGAATCGATTCGGAAAATTTTGTTGATAAAAATTTGAAATGATAACAGTATTTATGATCATCATCATCATTATCGCCATTCGTTTTTTTTCGTTCAATTCAAAGGAAAAAAGATGATGATAAAACGGATTTCTCGGGAAGTTTTTCTTGGTTATTTATTTGAAAAAAAAGGATAAATGTGATTTGTTTTCATTGAATCCAACATAAGGAGAATTTTTTTTTCTGGAGTTCAATTCAATGGATGAATTTCTCCAAACCGTTTTCGATGATGATATTTGTTTTTATTTATTGAGAAAATTTCCTGGAACAATTTTTTTGAATATTTTAGTGTTTTTTTTTACTGGGAAAAGATTCTTTTTTTATAATACACAAAAAAAATATGAAGAAAAATAATATCGGTTTGATTTATTAATAAAACATAAGATTTATATATCGAATATCATCATTGAATCGTTCAATAATCATAACAACAACAACAACCGGTAGGAAAAAGATTCAAAACACATTCACAAACACAAACACACACACATAGATACAATGATGAAAAGTTGATAGATGAAAAAACAATTTTTGGGACAAACAAATTGCCTGGCAATGACGACGATCAATTGATGAATTTGAATGTATGTTTTTTAATATTCGGTTCACATTGGAATTATATTGGAATTATTGAACATCCAAATGAGAAAAATATCTTCGGTTTCATATTACAATTATCACAGTAAATGAATTTTTATTGATGATAAATAATGAGAAAAGAATAAGTTCACAAAAACAAACAAACAAGAAATGGTGGTTTTGAATCATCAAGAATTTGTATTTTTCTGCTTAGCCTGTAAAATAAATGATTTAAAAATATTACTTATCTTTACAAAATTGAAAAAAAAATTGTAAAATCAATTTACATTAAAGAATTTTTTTCAAAAAAATAAAATTTTTTGATTAAATTTTTCAACAAACAAAAAAAAAATTACAAAACAAACAATAGTCAATTGTCAACCAAGGCCATCCAGCAGATAAATGAATCAATGGATTATAAGCGACATATTGTATACTATACTATAGACTAGAAACTGGGTAGAAAATAAAAAATTCTTTATTATGACATTCGGGAACATCATCATCATCATTTTCGAATCATCATCATTCATTCAGTACGACCAAACAGACTTACAAACACATACACATTACATATACACAGGATGTACACAATTCTAGAATTTTTCTTTTTTCTTCTTGGTCATCCATTCATTTTCTTTTATGGATCATACTTCCATCATCATCATCAGTATCACCATCAGTGAATTCATTTTTTCCCCTTTCTTTCCACACTGACTAACGAAAAGAGAAAAATGAAAGTTCAGTTCATTGTTATTATCATTATCATCATGAACAATCATCAATGACAATGGATGTTTGCAAACAATTTATTCGAATTATATCAGAATATCATCATCATCATCATCATCATCAGGATTGTAAACGATCTATATCATCATCATCATTCAATGATAATAATGATATGACCAAACATCAGCGTTTGGACTACAAAAGAAAAAGTTAACGTTTTTTTTCTTCTTCTTTTGCAAAACTTTATTTTGTGTGAATTTTGTGTGACATTTTTATTTTTATTCTTTTTTTGAATCTAAAATTTTTTTGAAAAGTTTGGATCATCATCAACAACAACGACAAGAATAAATGGAATAATTGAACAATGTCAAAGTTGAATAAGAAATTTTTTTTTGTTCAATGATAACAATCCAGTTGAACATCCCAATTTTTTGGATTGAATTATTATTTCTTTCAGAGGGGAGAAAAAAAAGTTTCCAAAAAAATTATTATTATTATTATGGTAATTCATCATTTCAAATGATTGATGATATTGATCATCATCATCAACCAAATACATATTTATGATACAATAATCGAATTGGGAAAAACAGTGAAAAGAAAAACAACCGGAAATTCAAAGGTGTAAAGCTTTCATGTTGTCTATTTCTCACACTGTTTTTTGTTTGTTTGTTTGTTGAATGATCGAATAAAACGGAAATAATGTTATCGAACGAAGAAAATACTGAAAAACATTGACTTGTGAATCTATCCATAGAATGAATGAATGAATATGGATCGTTTTTAAGCAACCAAAAAATATAAAAATTTCCGGTGTTATTCATTTTTTTTTCTTTTCTCCTATTCACTTGACTTTTTTTTTCTTTCCTACCATGATAATGAAAATATCAAATTCACCACATCCATACACCATTCATCATAGTTTTATTTTCTTTGGGGCCAGAATAGGCTGGGAACCTAAAAAATACTGCTGACTATTTTCAAAAGAATTTTTTTTCTTGGTTCACATCAAGCAACAACTACAAGAAACAGATCTGAACAACAACAACAACAACAAAAAAAAATTGCACCAGTTTCTTCATTTTTTTCAATCCATTCGTTTCATTGAAAGAATATTATTATTATTGTTATTGTTATTATCACATGGAATGGAGAAAAAAAAATGATCTTCTTTTTCCTATTAAAATTTACAATTTTTATATTAAAAAAAACCGAATAATAAAGATAATAACTTGGTGTTTGATGTAAACTGAAATTCTTTTCATTGTTGTTGTTGTTGTTGTTGTTAGGTTGTAATTCACTTTAAAATATATAGGATTTATTTAAATTTAAACTTGTAAAATTGGTAACTAGGATAAAATGAACATTATTAAACACATTTACAGTTAGTTTTTCTACTTTTTCAAAGGAGAAAATATTCTATGCTTAAATACAGAGAGAGAATCTGGTTGATGAACCCTGTTTTTTAGTTTTTGTTGTTGTTAAACTTCCAAAACAATATAGAAATAATCTTCTTAAAATGTCTATGATCCATTTTCTCTCTATTTCATATAATGATTATTTTCATAAACAAGATAAAAAGGCGCCGGCAATTGGTCATTTTATATATGAATTCCGAATGCGAAAAAAAAACTTTTCAATCAATTTCAGTGTAAGAATAAAAATTTTCATTAGTCAGATTACGGTTAATTAATGTAATTGAAAATTAAAAAAAAATATTGTTCAAAGAATCTGTGTGTGTGTGTTTGAAAAAAAAACCTGATAAAATCTTGTTCACTAAAGCAATTTATGGTTTTATTTTTCTCAAGAAAAAGAAAATCTTTTTGCACTTATTTTTGTTGCTTCTAATCAAAAAAGATTCCAATTGACATTGATAATTAAATCTTTGTGAAGAAAAAAGAAAAGAAAACAAGGCTACGAATTTCATTCGAGTATACACACCAACATATTACATCAAATGTCTATCTAATCACAAACACCCACTCACATAGACATTTGATTTTCTATTACATTATTTATTTTTTTGTTTTGTTGCTAAAATGGGCTGAACCTAGAGGCAATTCTCCTTCTTTCTTTCTTTTTGGACCATCATGGTCAAATCAATAGGAAAAAAAGCGAAAATTAATAAGAATTACTTATTGTGAATCTAATAATAATCTTAACAACATTTCACATATGTCCAATATGTTTTTAATGTTAAACAATGATCAATGATGAAAATGAAAAGATGAAATGAAATGTTTTTCACCACCACCACCACCACCATGACACCAGCCATATTGATGATTATTATCGAAAGTGAAAATTAGGAAGAAGAAGAAAGCCAAAAAGTTCTGATGTAATTCAAAATGATAATAACATATATTTCATTATAAGAATCGTCTACAACGAATGGGTTGTGTTGTAAGTGTGACCTTGTTGTTTTTCTTTTGCTGCTGTTGTTGCTAATAATAACCATCTTTATTACTATTTGCTATAAGAAAGGAAACAAAAAAATATCCAATAAATGTCAATTGAATAGCCTAACAAAAAAACCATTTTGTATAAAAATTATAATCAGACAGATATTGGAGAAGAAATCGAGGCTTTGATTCATGTTTGCTTTTCCCAAAATAAAATAGAAAAAAAGGATACAAAAATCATTATTGTTATTAGCATCCTATGTATTGATTGGAATGAATATTGTTGTTGTTGTTGTTGTTGTTGGATCGAAATGGTTTTTTGTTTCTGACGATGCAATGAATGACACACACACACCAGTCAACCAACCAACCATATATTGTTCCATCATCATATTGTTTGATGAAACAAAAAAATATTATTTTCCAATTAGTATTATTGAGTAATAATAATAATAATGATTTTTTTCAGGATAATTTTCACTTGGTTCATCATTATCATCATCATCATGATGGAATTTCATCGAAAAATCATCATACGCACATGGTTGATGAAGAAAGAAAGAAGAAAATTATGATTAGATTATGATGATGATACAACAAAAAAAATATGATAAAAATACATTGGCAAGCACGTTCTGTTTCATTATGAAAGAATCAAGCTCATCAAACACACACACACACACACATAGAAATGATTTTTGTGTGTAGAAAAAATGGATTCGATCAAATTCCAATGGATCAATGGTTATGAATTTGATATGGATTATAATTAGCTTTTTTCATCATACACAAAATGATCATTTTTCCGTCATGATTATTTTTGGCTGGATGAAAGTAAGTGAGAGGTACAAAAATTCAATAAAAGAAAAACGTTAGAAAATTTTTCAATTTCGTTCTTCTCAAACAATTAAAAATGAATCAATCATTTAATTATATGTGTTGAAATGAACGGAAAATGTTTCTGATGTTTATTTACAAGGGGAAACATAAAATTATTTTACATTATTTTCGTTTGAAAAAAAGGTGATGAATACAAAAATCAATTAATAAAACGAAAAAATTATATTTTCACTTGACTATCATCAAAAACTAAACAAACTCTTTAGTTTAGTTTGTCCGGTTTTGTTTGAAATCGATTTGGGAATATTCAACTAAATTCATTCATGAATCATGATAATTATGATGATGCAATCAAGCGTTCAAGGTTATATACTTCGTAGTTTGGTTTGGGAAAATTTTTTGATGAATATTTTTTTTTTACTAAAAAACCTTTCCCTTTCCCGAAAAAATTATTATCAAGATAATTTATGAA